TGTAAAGGCGCAGCTCTATTCTGGAAAAGGGGGCGGGGAGCAGCAGCTCATTTGCATTTAAAGACACAGGCCCGAAAAACAGCTTGTTTCTGCTTCCACTCAAAATAGGCATTTTCAAAATGTTATAATAAATGATCTGTGGAGTATTTTGAGCTGAAACTTCACAGACACATTCTGGGGACACCAGAGACTTATATTACATATTGTAAAAAGGGGCATAATATGTCTCCTTTAAAATAGATTATTACTTGTTTTTATACTTTTTTTTCATAATTTGAGAAGACCTGATCTTTAAACATTTTGAAGAGGCCAGCAGAATACATCACGTCAAGTGGTCTTTAGAGTGACTGCTTCTCCTCTCATTTCCACCAGTGGTTACTGGGACTGGGATTTTTCCTTTTCCCATGGGCCTCTGCTCAGTTGAGGAGCTGGTATCTCCCGCTGCACGTCTTCTTTGGCCTGTTGCTGCTGACCATGTCTGTGGGATCCTGTCTGCTGGGAATCACAGAGAAACTGCTCTTCAGTATCATGTGAGTGTCAGTGAATGCATCTGAAATATATGAAAAATAACAACTGATGTCACTAAGCTGAGGTAAAAATTTTGAACAGAGGAAAGGAATGAGTCACCATGTGAATGAGTCACAGCGGAAAGAGACTTTCAATGGATATCAATGATATTTGGCTTCTTTTCACCATCTCACCATTTGGCATCAAATGCTGTGTTTTATTATTATTGTTATTATTAGTAAATACTTTATTAATCCTTCACAGGAAATGATATTGTTACAGCAGCAACCACAATTCAATCCTTGCACACAGACATATCTACCTAACTAATCACCTAAAAGGGAATCTTACAAACAAATTCAAGATAATATTCCTTATATGCTCATTTACTGCAGAAATCATGAATACTTAAAGGATTTAATGTAATGCACTCATGATTATTAACTTTATTAATCCATAAATAAACACTCTTCTCACATCTGAAAAAGAAAAAAAAAGAAAATGTCCCACAGACTGACATAACTAGCAAATCTTTATTAAATTACAGTGTTTTGGTCGAAGTGGATCTGAAGCTTGTGTTATTTAAGATGTGCAAGCTACTACAGTGTTTTTCTGTTCATCTAACAATGACAATTTTATGGTACAATTCTTGTTCTTAGGGAAACTTACTCCAGGTTTACTGGTGAGGGGGTCCTGGCGAACACTTTAGGCTTGTTGCTGGTGTGCTTTGGGGTCGTGGTGGGTTATGTGGTGACAAGAGAAGATTTTAGGCGACCGCCGAATCCCGAGGAGGAGGCTCTATCCGTGCACTTTAAGACCCTGTCGGAAGGAGAAATCCTCAGTTCTCCTTAATGTCTTAATACTCTCCAAAAACTGCCTTTCTGCCTTCCTACTCGTGTCCTAGCAAACCTGTCAGCCAGTTCCTCCCTTTGCAGTCTCCCCCATCCTTAACATTTAAGTTACTCAGCAACAGACACCAAGAAGTTGTGACGGGATTAAATTGTAGGCTACAGAATTTTGATTTATTTATTGTTATTATTGAAGTAATTAAATGTTATATATATATATATATTTTAATTCATTGTTTTGAGGGTTAGGATTTATTTTTAAAGTTATTTCTAATTGTGCCAAACCAAATTAACATTAAAAAAATAGAGTTGTATATACTGTGTCTGTAAATGTATTAGATTCAGGATGTACTTTCTTGTGCCTTAACATTTATTTGGACCAGACTGTACTGCAAAACTGAAATACTCTATAATGATAATTATTATTATTGTTTAGAATCAGAGGGCACAGCACTACATCAGCAAATGTTTATTATCAGTATATGTTTGTAACTTTCCCTTGCAGGATTTTCAGCATTTATTTTAATGTTACAGACTAAACTTGTCATTATATGCAGAAACCTGCTTTATGCCATATTTATATGTGACCCTGGACCACAAAACCAGTCTTAAGGGTCAAATTTAGGTTTATACATAATCTGAAAGCTGAATAAATAAGCTTTCCATTGATGTATGGTTTGTTAGGATAGGACAATATTTGAAAATCTGGAATCTGAGGGTGCAAAAAAATCTAAATATTGAAAAAATCGCCTTTAAAGTCGTCCAAATGAAGTCCTTAGCAATGCATATTACTAATCTAAAAAAAACCTAAAAAATTAAGTTTTGATATATTTACAGTAGGAAATTTACTAAATATATTCATGGAACATGATCTTTACTTAATATCCTAATGATTTTTGGCATAAAAGAAAAATCAATAAATGTTGACCCATACAATGTATTTTTGGCTATTGCTACAAATATACCCCAGCGACTTAAGACTGGTTTTGTGGTCCAGGGTCACATATGAAAATATATTACAGCTCTACCTGCATAAATGACTGAACAATACTTGAAAAATGTTGGATTGTTAATAGCGAGATCTCTAATATCCATGATCTGGGAAAAAAATTAATAAAATCTAAGTTATATTATTTAAATGAAAAAAAGTCTTATTTGTTATCCAAACAGAGCAGTTTAATAATGAAAGTCTTTTGCATAGTGTGGTGCTTGTCTTGCTGTTTCCCATGTGCTGGTTATTAAAATCAGCTTGAAGAGGAGAAATACTGTTTTACACGGTTTTGTGTGTTTGTGCTGTAAACACACATTCTGTCTTTCCATCTGAAAGAGTGTGTTCAAATGATCTGTAGGTGCCTTTGTACTGTATTTTTGTGTTGGCATGTTTGTATTGTGTAGTGGCAATATTTTTTACTATGTTTTCAGTTTGATGTAAAATATCAGTTAAGTATGTGTTTGCTTTAGAAGTTCAGTGTGATTTTAAACAATAAATTCATGAAAAATAAGTTAGACTCAATGGAAAGTTATTTCAGCTCGATTTTTTGAAGTGGTATTTTTTTTTTTTTTTAAATAAGTTATTATTTCCCTCATACATACAGATGACTGTACAGTTTACAATCGTTTAACTGGATAAAAAGTCCTCATTCACGGTTCTGATTTTCCATCCCAGAAAACATCACAGCTCACATTTACAGAGAATCCTCCTTCGCAAGCCCAGTTCTAAACAAAGCAAAATATTAAAGCAAAATACATACAAAACCTAAACTCTGTAATCTGTTCTTTTTTTTTATCTAATAAGGGAAACAAGGAAATATATTGTGCCAGTCTTTTCCCTCATACACAAAACCACACACACACTCAGGTTTGTGTATTAGCAGAGAAGCATGCGTTCTAGTTCAGCACATTATTTACAGCCATTTACATTTTGGTCATACAAAAGGAAAACAAATAGTTAAATACAAACACTGTTGTACAGTAAGCAGTATTCCAGGTCAACTCTGAGTGCACCTCATATAACTTTAAAACACTGCAAAAAAGACCTGCTCTTTTTCAACAGCAGTTGAACATTGATTAGTAAAGCAAGATCCAGTGAGTGAATCTGACTTGCCACAGTCTTCCCATAATATGCCACCAAGACATCCGTAAAAAAAAAAGTACCTGACCTACCAATAGTATGTTACTGGTGAAACATGACACAGGCTTTGACATCAAGTCAGGTTTCCCATATCTGAAAGGAAGTACTCACAGTTTTAAACAAACAGGGAAAATGTTCTGAAGGCATGTTTCAGTGCACAAATAAACTCTCAAAACATAATGAATGAGAGCATGTGGATTCTGAGGCTGCAAAAAAGTTTTCCCCACGCCTACTTCCCATGAGAAAAGTTTCTTTGGAAAAGACAATTTCCGCTTTAGTGGTGTGACTACTATAGAGCAAGTTAATTAACGGCTGACCACCTGAATGCTACTTCCCTTGAGCAGATGTGAAATTATTAACCAAACACTACAGATATTTGCATTGCATTAAAAGTAGCGATCCTGTTGATATTTGTAACCTGTTGACAAAAAATAAAAATGCCCAAAAAAAGTCTAAAAATATTTCACATTGCTGAGTGCATGTCAACTCAAGGCAAACTGAAAACACAACTGCATTGAAATTTATGTGTATACATATATATATTTATACAAACATAACTTAAAATATTAAATATTAGTTTTTTGCTTTAGCAATATTGATCTGGAATATCTTAGGTACATTTTCAACTTGAGACACAGCAAGATTCTCCGGGATTATTACTGGTCTGAGTGAGGACATTAGTGGGGATGTCTGGTGCAGGGGCCATGCTCAGCAATGTGTTCATGACTGGCATTGAGCAGCCACCCTCTCATGAAGGTACAGAAAAGTAGAAGGTTGGTGTACAGCAGTTACACAGGCCTACTATAACTCCAATGGATCCTGATACTTACATTTTTGTGTCCAGAGCAAATATAGATGCATTTGATTTGTACATGCTAGAATCACTAGATTCACATTGGTGAAATTCACCTTGAGAGGTCTGTATTTTCATTATCAAGATATGGGACGTAAAACGAAGAGATAAGTTGGTCAACATGTTAGATATTCCTCGAGAATTTTCTAATAAATCTTGCACACTGACTCTTTATTCTTACACATTAGACTCCACAAAGGGTCTCTTTGGTTTAATGGGTGAGGTTGGGCCTTGCCTTTCATTTCGAGACATCTGCTTAAACTCATTGTCCTGGTAGGCCTGGGAAACTGGCAGAGTCCGTGCCACTTTCACATCTGGGTATGTGGGAATCTGGCTAACTCGGCCCATAGCATCCGCCCGGTCCCGCATCACACCAGGGGAGTTGATGTAGAAATCGTCATCCATGAGGTGACCATTGTGAGCATTGTTGGTGCGGTTGTAGTACGCAATATGGCTGAGGGGTGCTGCTTGCTGCCTGTAGCCCATGTTGCTAGTGGAGGTGGCTGGACTGTTCACCACCGTATCCAGTGAAGAAATGGTCCATGGTCGAGAACCCGAAGAGGATGATGCAAACGAAGGCTGCTGCTGAAGGTACTGCTGAGTCCGTGCGGTCTTGTCAATAATGCCCATGAAAGGCGTGGCGCGGGAGCGAAGCGCTTCTCCTGGATATGTTCCACCCACCACCCCGAAGTCTGTGCCTTGTGGGGGTGACTCTGGTGAAAGGTCATCATGGTAGCTGCCTTCATAGGAAAGCTTTAGAGGGATCTCCATTTGCTGCGCAGAAGCTGACGGCCTGAACCCTGGGCCTAGGTTAGCAGCGGAACCTGCCACCAAACTGTTGCTGGATGGAGAGAAGCGTAGACCCGTACTGTGGGAGTGAATAAGGGGGCGTGGAGCTGGTGGGTGCTGTTTGGGTTCAGCACTATTCGCGCTGACTGGACGTCGGTGGGCTTGAAGGTTCTCTGGTGAACCCAGAGTCACCTGTCGCTCCATTTCGTGAGGCGAGACTGGATAGTAGGCGGTTGACTGACTGCGGCTGATCTGTGGTGTCTGAGCGTAACGGACTCCTCCGGGATTGGGTCTGTAAGCAGAGGAGGGCCTCTGGGGAAGCTCGTCCTCCACAAGGCCAGGATCCATGCTGATGGCACGCTGGTACAAGGCCCCTGCACTCAGACTGCCCTGAGGTTGAAGTGAGGAAGAGTACCCTCCATCCCCAAGTTCATCCATGTCTCCTGGGCAGCGGGCGCTCATCGAGTGAGCAATCTGACTGTATGCACTACTACCCAGTATGGCACTGGAGTGTACCGCAGTGCTGGGCTGGTTGGTTCGGACGATCTGTGCCTTGGCTGGCTGCAACCACTGGGTCTGTTGTGACGGCTGGGAAGTCTGTTGGGAAAATTGGAAAGAACGTTGGCTGCTCATCTTGGACAGAGGGGACTTGGGTCGCCCTGCAAGCTGGTCTTGCTGGTACCATCCTGCAGAGGCGGACTGGTGACGGTACATGGCGACTCCCTCAGAGGTAGGGCTGGCGCGATACTGTGGTCCACGGCGTAATGGTGATGGCGGTGGGCTGAAGTGGTAGGAAGCCTGATGAGGGGGACTGGGCCGAAAGTGCGAGCTCTGGTGCGTTGGTGAGAGCGATGGAGAAGAGGATTGGTAGCCTTGCCTAGTAGGAGAGGACATTGAAGGGGGACTGGGGCGAAGGTCGTACGCTTGGCCCAAGTAGGGTGAATCATGATGGCTCGGAGATGGAGGCATGTTTTGAATGACAGGAAGTCCCGATAGTATAATGTGGGGCTCAGCAGGAACACCAAGCGGTAGGCCATCTAAATCCCGCTCAAGGTAATCATCATCCTCCTCCTCAAACAAGTCCTGAACTGGCTCCATGTCTGAAATATGGGGCTCCATTGGAGGTGGCGGGACCATGGATGGGGCTTGATCACGGGGAGGGGAAGGAGGCAGATCCAGATCCTGTTGTTGTTCAACCTGATGACACTCTTCTTCTACACGTTGCAGCAGGCGCTGGATCTCACGGTTATTGGGACATAGATGCACAGCTTCACTCAGGTCCTCCAGGGCTGCGTGGAATTGCCTATAGTGAGGGAGACCAAGAATGAGAGAGAGTAATAAGATGGAATATGGCAGTATGAAAAGAGAAATAAAGAAATATGCTTGTTAACAAAGTAACTTGCTGGTAAAGTCTAAGAAATGACTATTGCTAAAGAAATATTCAGAGTTCAATGCAAGTCAATTGATTTTTTTTCTTTTCTGATTTTTCGTTCTTCTGAGATACACACAGACTTTAATTGAAACATCAAAGTTAACTAACTTTTTGAACCTGGAACATTTCTTTAGTAATTTTACCTATCAATCAAAATCATTGACCCAAAAAACCTCTGGTTTTCCAAAACCAAGCAAGTTGATATAAGTGTTCTGGGCACAGAGAGTCAAAGTAAACAAAATCGTGGGGAGAAGAAAAAGAATAAAATATGAATGATGGACATTCTGAGGAAAATTAATCTGATTGGTCAACAAAACATGAAGTATGAAGAACAGGTCTAATCCTGCTGTTGACATCTGATGATGCAGAAGTCAAGGGGCTTAAATTGACTTCTACCTTGAAACTCTAGCATAGCACTACGTCAACCAATCGAAATATATTCGGCCAGTTTGGGTCATCTGTCAGCACTTTATCTGTGCTAGAGACAGAATGTGTTTTAAAGGCTGTCCTGCCTGTTGGTTGCTACGGTTACCTGCTGCTGCGCTTGGCACGGGCTCGTGCGTAATAGGCTTCATAGGATTTGGGTTTCAACTCTAGTGCCTTGGAGGCAAACTCCTCCGCCATCCCAAAGTCCTGCAAGCAACAACAGGACCAACAGTCATACACTGAGCCGGTCAGAGGGAGGACACACACACATATGTGCATGCAGACATGTGCACAAACACACACACACACACACTCTTACATCACTTATGCACACACATTCTGGTTGAACATGAACATGTCACATTTATATGAGTATGTGAACAAAAATAAACACCAAAATACACATATTTTGAGCACCATTAGTGCAAACATGATAAACAGACATACAATAATGGAAATGCTTGTACACACTTATAAAATGTATTGACACACACATACAAATATATGCTTTACAGGGACAGTGGGAAGATGCAGTGTGACAGCTCAAACCTCTTCCTGTACTAAACCTAGCAATTAAACAAATCCAACAAATGTCAGAAAAACCCGATGAACCAACAAATCGAACAGAAACAAGAATGAGAGTATGATGGGAAGAAAAACTACAGCATGAGTCGAGTGTATTGGGAGATTTCAAGAGGATTTCTCCATCCAGAGGATGGAGGTTTGAAAATCCAAACTCAAAAAGTTCTTTGGGTGATATCAAAATGAGAAATAATGTAGCCATAAAGGAGAAAAAATGGGAAGATCAAAATATCTCTTAATACATCAATACTGCCTTTACAATCCTTGTTCCGCAACTGCTTTGGTCTTAAGTGTTTTCAAAAGCAATTAAGAACACAGGCCAAAAGCAAAACTAATATATGCAGTTTGTTGGTTAGGTAGTTGCCGTTGCATGGATGCTTGTAAACGAGATTTACAGCATACTTGCTGCTAGTGGTTGAAAGTCAATTTCTACAGGGTGGTCAGTGGCTAATTTAATACAAATATCATGGACTTTAGTTAGGGTAGACACCATATTTAATTTAACAGTAAAGTGTACAGTGTTGCAATGCCTTAAGTCACTTAATTATTTCACATACCAAAGTATTTAAATATCAAATTTAACATTTTCATGATATACAAATTTTTCATTTATGATAAATATGCTGTCTACCCTTAATAAGGCATACCACAAATATTGTCTAATACTGTATATAATTATAAATAATTAGATTTAAAAAATAACAAACATATATAATTGCTAAAAAGTAATAAAAAATTAATATACAATTTAAAAATATATATTTAAATAATTCACTGAATTAAAAATGTTTAAATATAAAACAGAAAAATGTTCATTAATAGAATTATCTCATTTAAATATTATGTTGACAACGCTGTTTTTAGCACAAGGCCAACCAGACACAGTTATCAGTGGATGAGTCCCATAACTCTAGGAATGACCAACAGGTTAAAAGTCAAAAACTCCGTTTATATGAGGTGACCGATCTAAATGATTGTGGTCAGGGCAATATCAATGCTTAATCATAATGTCTCTACGAGTAAAGAGAGACAGAAAGAGGAAAGCTTTATGAAACCGAGTGCTTTGGACTCACGTTCATTTTCCTGCGGCAACGGGAGAGGTTGAGCAGCAGAGAGACTTTGAGCTCACGGAAGGTCTTCAGGTCCTCTGTGAAACCCTCTCGTGGGAACTTCTTCAGGGCATACTGGTACTGTTGGGCGGCTTCTTTCACCTTTCCTTTCTGGGTCAGCAAGACATTCTTACTTTCGAGTTTGTTCATAATATAATATTTGTTTATGATATAGTACAGTTTAATAAAAACAAATGCAATACAACACAAAACTATAATATTTTATATATATATATATATATATACAGTATATATACACACACACACACACTTCTTTGACTGAATATTCAAAATGACGCTCACCTTGTAGAATCCATCTCCTTCCTCTATCAGTTTGCTCAACAGAACGATCATAATATCAGGTTTTGATGTGGCCATTGCCCATGTTGCAGGACCTGAGTGCAAAACAAGGGGCAAAGCAAAGAGTCAGCACAGATTGACAGTCTGTATGGGCAAAAACTAGCTTGCTAATCTCAGAGGAACACAACGGAATGAGCAGGCTGCCAGAATATCTTGCTTAAAAGGAGGCAAAGTCTATGCACAACTTTTGGATATCACAAAAAGCCATGGCAACACGCCAGACAAAAAAAAAACAAAACAAAACAAAACAAATCACGAGCAGCTTGGCTGTTTATACCTTGCCGAAATTGAAATCTGTTTATACTGGCAATAAAAACATTGAGTCCAACAGCTACTGAACTTGCAGTCAGCATGTTTTAGCTCTCTGTGGAGAGCCTGAACAGAGGTCATGTGTTTCTACTGGTTTGGACTGAATGTACAGTGGAGGGAGGGTCAGAATAAGAGATTGACAGTGGTCCAATTAGAGCTGTAGATTTCGCCATGCGCAGCCAGTTGCAGTATGCAGGCAGGCAGTGATTTAGTACAATTCATGCAAGGAGTAGTCAAGATCATGCTAAGACACACAGGATCAGGTACCAAACTGGCCAACAGCCCAAAAAAGCCAAACTGACAGCAACTGTGGAAAAAACGAAGGCATTTGTTCACACAGGATGCATTCTTGCATTCAAAAACAGCTAGACGCAATACAGAATTCCAGCACAACAGAACCGGACAGTACTCAAGATATCTCAAGACGCGTATTTAACTTTATACAGCATCTTCAAAGTCTGAGCTAATGGCACAAGGTGCTAAAAATCAGCAAGATGAGTTGCAACAATCAAAGATGTCCACTGTAATACAGCAGAGAATCCAGGAGAACAGAACAGAAAGCAGCCGTCTTGAGATGCTTTTTAAAACTACAGCATCTTAAAAATGTGACGTTCATGCCACAAGACGCTGAAAATGAGCACAACGGTCAAAAACGTCTATGCCATTGTGGCATTGCAACAGAATAGAACAATGACGGTTTCATGAGCTGCATCTTAAAAGTCAACGCTAATGGCGCAAATAGCTGCATTGCAACGTTGAAAGGAGTCCATTATAATACAACATCACAAAGGAATTGAACAAAACGCAGGCATCTCAAGATGATTTTTTAAGCTTCTTTTGACACAGCATCTTAAAATGTGATGCCAATGGCACAAGATGCTGCAAAACAAGCATCGCAACATTAAAGATGTCCATTGCAATACGACCGCGCGACAGACTACAACCAAATGCAGGCATCTCGAGATTAGTTTTTAATTTCTTTCAACTTAACGCAGCATATTAAATGTAACACTAATGACGTAAGATGCAGCAAAAACAGCAAGAAGCATCACTACAATGAAAGACATCCATCGCAATATGACAGCAAAATGGAATAGAACTAAATGAAGCTATCTCGAGATGAGTTTTTAACTTTTAACTTGATACATCATATTAAAATGTGGTGCTAATGGCGCAAGATGCTGCAAAATAAGCATCACAGCACTGAAAGACGTCTATCGCAATATGACAGCCAATGGAAAAAACAAAAAAACCAAAACAAATGTAGGTATTTCATAAGTTTGTAACTTCTTTTCACTTGTTACAACATTTTAAAATACAATGTTGAAGACACTGTCAGTAGTCAAATACAACTCTATAGCACATGATTACATAGAAAAACAGTTGCAAAACAGTGCAAGAATGCATTCCGTGTTAACGCTCCCCAAAAGCGCAAAACACTCAGCATGTAGAAACATTCTGCAGCATCATGCAAAAATGCAACACTGGTTTTCCTACATGCAGCCATGCAAGCAAAAAAGCAGACAAAATGAACAAAAAGAATCAACCATCCGAATTTTGCAATACAAAATGACACAAACTCCACCCATGTTTATGGCTGATAGCAGCTCTTTTCATTGTAGCCAAGAATGATATGAATATTAAATGCCTTTCACATTCGGGCACCCAAAACACTAACAGACCCGATCAATGGAGAAGGGACCACACAGGTAACGAGATGGAGGGACACAGTCAAAAATGGCAGATGGGGCGCACAAAGGTCTGCGTTTTACCTCGGGCACGAGTGGGGAGTGTCTGACATCCTGGTTACGAGGAGAGAAGTTGTGGGAAGGGTCACGAGTGAAAGGGTGACAGGTTATTGGGGCAGTGAAGCATCATGGGAAGGGCATCCGTATCAGACAGGGAGCAAAGGTTTATGAAAACAGGGAGAATGTAATAGAGAGTCAAAGGAAGAGAACAAGAGAGATTAATAGTTGGTGGTTAGGGGTGAAGGAGTGACGTGAAAGGAAGAACAAGGAAGATCAGCCGTGAGAAGCCGTGGCAAGTAGCAATATTAGCAAAAGCAATAAGCCCATCCTGATCAGCTGCAGATCAGTGGAGTTCTGCAGTTCGGTGAAGAGCACACGAGAAGGAGGGTTAGACTCGCATGACTGAGCTCACAGGGAGGGGTATGGAGGAGAAAGACATCTACATGTGAAGCTACTTTCATGTGATCTTCATGATATATTCAGTGCATCTGCTGTTTATGTTTCTAATGCATTTCTTCAAGGTATAAGCATTGGAATGCATGCTGTGCTCCATTCAAATGTGAATGTGGGATATTCCTATTGGACATGTGACACACACTACCATTCGAAAGTTTGGTGTCAGTAAGATTTTTTTTTTTTTTAAGGAAATGAATACTTTTATTCAGTAAGAATGACCTTGATGAATGTTTTCAACATTGATAATAATACAAACGTTTCTTGAGCATCGAATCATATCTGAAGGGTCATGTGACACTGATGCTGAAAATTCAGCTTTGGAAATCCAGCACTGGAATAATTACATTTTAAAACATATTCAAATAGAAAACAGTCATTTTAACTTGTAATACTACTACTACCAATACTACTACTAATAATTCACAGCATTGCTGTTGTATGGTATTTTTGATCAAATAAATGCAGCCTTGGGGAGCATAAGAGACTTCTTTCAAAAATCTCACCAAGCCTAAACTTTTGAACAGTAGTGTATAAGAACTAAGCAAAAAAAAAAAAAAAAGGAAACATCATGTTTGCTAAATGTGCTAACTTGCTTCTCCGCTTCCATCCGAGTTGCAAAATGATGCAAAAAATTTCACAAAAACAATTTGCGAATAAAGCGCATGTGTTGATGAGAACAAAACTGACCAAAAATAGGAACAGAAACGGAAGTTATGGCCCCGAGAAAGCTGCTGCGGCTCTTTTTTAAATCGCTTGCAGCGAAAAACACTCCTTGAACTTCATGGTTGCTAGCCATCAATGACAGATGCTTTATGTCTAGGAGCAACTGTGTGCCAGAAAAATCTTTGGCTCCAGCATTTCAGAATGACCAAGAGAACCATGTTATATTTTCTTCCCTGAGCAAATTATTCAGTCAAAATTATTCAGCAAGAGTTTCCAACTTGGAAGTCTAATTTGAAGCAGCTTTTTAGATTTTTCCAAGTAGAATGCTGGCGATTCTGACTTTCCAAATTGAATGGAGTGCAGCATTACAACCCCAAATTAATTATTATACATATCTATCTTTTATTTTTTACAGTAAAACAAATTGTGTGAACAGGTGTGTACAAACATTTACCTGCAATTCAACCAATGGCTAGCTCATTTCACCACAGCAAATATTTATTGTACAAGAACATAGTTTAGAAATAATTGTTTCTGTAAGAACATATCCCCTTCCAGCCTACCTATCTTGGCTCCCTTCTTAAGCAGCGCCACCACCACTGATGTGTTCCTGCAGCCGACTGCTCGATCCAGCGGACGCATGCCGCTGTAGTCCACATGCTCGATCATCGCACCATGATCCACCAGATACTGCACCTGGAACCACAACAAGACCAGAGCTGTGGTTTATTGTCTGTATATCCCCTATGTGATATCTGTTCAAAACCATTAGCATATGCATACACATCCCATTTAGGAGATTATTTAGATTATAGTTCATCCAAAAATGAAAATTCTGTCATCATTTACTCACCCCTCCACATTTTCCAAACCTGTGTGGGGTTCTTTCTTCTGTTGAACACAAAAGATGAAAGTTGAAAAATATTGGAAACGGACATTGACTCCCATAGTATTTTTTCCCATGCAATGGAAGTCAATGGCTACCGTCAACTGTTATCAGCATTCTTCAAAATATCTTCTTTTGTGTTCAACAGAAGAAAGAAAGTCATAAAAGTTTGGAATGGCACGAGGGTGAGCAAATGATGACAGAATTTTCATTTATGGGTGAACTTGCCCTTTAAGGTGTATATTTTTTAAACAAACTAGATCCACTTTACATTAGTTCACTAAAATAAAACCAACCACTTCTGAGTCGCCATAAAAAGCGGCAAGGTCCAGTGGAGTGCGGCCGCTCTTATCTGCATGGGCCGTTGCCACACCTCTTTCAACCAGAGCACGGACCAATGGGAGGTGGCCTTTAAGACACGCCCAGCTCAGTGCTGTTAGCCCCTCCTTGTCCATCAGAGATAATGAGGCACCTGTGAAATAAGTTAGAAAGCAGTCAGAAGGTTAGAGAGGACTGATTGACAGTGTGTCCTATTATTAAAATGACTGATATATCCTGCCCCTTTATATTCTAGTGTATGATCAGTACAGCTGTACCTTGAGCCAGCAGGAACTCCGCCGTACCCAGATGTCCCTCAGACGCAGCCATCATTAGAGGAGTTCGTCCCTGTTTATCAGCCATGTTCACGTCAGCGCTGTGATTCAGCAACAGGTCCACTATCTGCACAACCAACACCGACATTTCAGACTAATTAAAAAAACTTGCAAAATAAAAAACGACTTTTGAGATGTAGGAGGCGCTCACCTGCCAGTGTCCCTGCCGCACGGCGCTGAAGAGTGGCACGATGCCCCTGCGGTTGGGCTGAGCCACGGCGGCACCCTGCTCCAGTAAAAGACGACACACGTCCAGCTTCCCCCGACCTGCTGCTGCTGTCAGAGCTGAGATATTGAGAGAGTCTCTTTAGTGAGTAATCTGTGCACTCATATTTAAATGAAAACACAGAGAACAGGTTGTCTGGTGGTGTTGCACCTGTTTCACCCCACAGTGTGTCAAAGTTGTTTATCTGAGCTCGTTCCTCCTCTTCCTCATCTTTCTCGGGCAGGTCGAGCAGGTAGGATACAAGCTGTGAATAAATCAGAATTATAATCAGAATGAGGTTTATTGCCACGTATGTGTACACACAATGAGTTTGTCTTGGTGACAAGAGCTCAGTACAGGCATAGTACAGATACATAGCGATAAAGGCAATATGACACAATGATAAAAAAAAATGTAAAGGCAAAAAATTTAAATATAATACAAAAATTACATATGTACAGATAAGCTATATACAGATAGATGTGCAGTTGTGACGTATGCTATGCTAAATGTTGTTTTTAGTAATATATATATTTTTTTTTTTTTGTTATTTGTGTGTTTGTATATGTGTGTTTGTGTCACCCACACATTATTTTTAATATGTAATTCTAGTTAGTTTGAATTCATTTTTGAAAGTTTTCACACTGTGATTTTTTTAAATGTTAATTTAGTTTAGTTTAGTTAATTGACCAAAGTTAATGTAAACTGAGATATTAATATTATTTATTTGTAATATTTTATATTGTATAATAAATATAAAATTCTATATAAAAAAATTAAAAGTATATGAAAACATGAATAGATAATAATAGTAGCTAAAGAATACCATACATATTAAAATACATTTTTTTCTGAGAAATATAAAGTTCAAAAAACACATTTATTTAAAATAGAAATCTTGCATTATTATATTATAACACTGTCATTACCAATGCTTTTGATCAATTTAATGCATTTAAAGTATCCTGAATAAAAGTATTGATTTCTTAAAAAAAAAAAAAACTCTTACTTCTGTATAGCCCATACTGGCGGCTGCTATGAGGGCCTGCTGTACTGCATGGCTCTTGTTGAAGGATCCGGCCTGCTGTCCGTCTGTGTTCCACTCGCACTGCACCAGATACTTCACCACATCTAGATGACCCCGCAGACCCGCGTGGACAAGCGCACACTGACCATTCTTATCCAGGTGATCCACCTGAACAGAAACACACAGGAGAGAGAGACAGAGATGAAACTGACTGACAACTCAAAATCAACAGCCACTACCCTGCGTTCGTATTGGTTATACATCTCTATCTAGGCCTTGCATGGCTGACCTTGGCTTTCTTGCTGCAGAGGGTGGTGATGATGGGTAGGTGACCCGCGCCGGCTGCGTAGCCAAGAGGAGTGAGTCCGCTCTCTGAAACGCCATCCACATCCGCCCCAAACTCCAACAGCAGAGTCACAGTCTCCAGGTAGCCCAGGTGAGCGTGGACACACAGGATGGGGGCATTATTCAACACCTCTGTACGATAGTTCACGTTAGCTCCGCCCATAATCAGCAGCCGAGATACCTGGAGGAAGAGAGGAAGATGGGGATATGGAGGAGTAGGTGGAATAAAAAATTAAGAGTGGAAATGTTTATCAGGGTTAAAAAATTAAGAAATAAGGAAATTTCCAATCGAGTTAATTATTATAGTTTACTACACTCGAAATGAACAATTTCTTACTGATAAAATATTACAGAAAAATAACTAGAAAAATAAGATAAAATAACTAGAAAAAAATTACACCATCATTCAAAAGTTCAGGGACATTAAGTGTTTTTTTTTTGTTTTTGTTTTTAAGAAATCAATATTTTTATTCAGCAAAGATGCATTAAATTGATCAAAAGTTAATACTTTAAATACTTAAGTATTAATACTTAATACTCTAAAAAAGTATTAATAACTTTAATAACAATAACTTAAAAATGTTACTAATCCCAAACTTTTTTAATGGCAGCATACTGTAAATTCACTGTAGAAATATCTAAGATTTTCCAAGAATTTAAAAGATCTTCCATAAAAATAAATAAATTAATTAATTAATTAATAATAAAAAACAAACAAACAAACAAAAAAAAAACTACTTTTCCAAGTCTGGAAATCACTTCAAATTGAAGATATTTTCAGGTTTTCTATGACTGTGGGAATTCTGTTTTTTTTTTTTTATACCTTGATGTTCGGAGTGTAGAGATTTCTCAATGAAGTCAAAGCTGCAGAGAGCCCTTCTGTACTGTAGGACACCCACAGCCCCTGCAGAACTGAAGAGGAAACGCCAACCTTCTTACTCAGGCCCTGCGTCCAAGAGGCAATGTAGTTAATAAAAAACATCAATGGTAATGTAATATAAATCCATTTCAAAAGCATTTATATACTGCTCTAGTCAAGTTTATGCTATCAATTTAGCAACGTCAAAACGTTTACAGTTGTTATAGTTAGCCTAACCTTAAAGATGTGAGCTTTGAGAATGTGGTGGCCAAGTTCGAGGGTCTGCTGTCGATTAAGCTTGCTGTCTTGCCGTGAAAACCAGAAAGCAAGCAGTGTGTGGCCACTCCTAAAGAATCATGGGAAAAGAGACAAGATGAGGGTATAATAGATTGTAGCTATATTTCTCAGACATCGACAATGTTCACATCCCATTTTACACTTGGATATATGACAGGAAATGTTTTTTTTACATTTTGATGACATATTCAGAAGACACTTAAGCTTCTTACCTGGGGTCGCAGAGGAACTTGGTCTTCTCTCCATCCTCTCTCCAGATGAGCCACTCTCTGAAGGAGGGGTGGATGAACATCCGCGTTCCATCACGTCTTTTCACCAGGAAAGGCAAAAGGAGTTCAGACCTCTGCTGGAAATCCTCCCAGTCCATGGCAGCTCCATGCACCATGCCGGCGTTCACGGCACTGTAGGCCTGCTCATCAGTTAACGGGTGTAGAGAAGCCACGGCCACGTTAAGCAGCGGAAGAACGCGCTCGAATGACGACTGAGTTGGGAAACGCATGTTCAGCTGCAACAGGTAAACCTCAGCCAGATTCACCGGAACCACCTGCACACATGCTTACAGTTTTTAATAAAATCAATAAATACATGCTAAAAAGATGAAACATATTAATCCTTTTAGACTAAAAAAAAATATATATATATATTTTTTTATTTTCTTTTAAATTGCAAAATCCAAAAGGGTTTCATTCACACGATTACTTTTTTCATAAAGTACAGAAGCAAAATTAACCATAAATAATTAACACCACATACATTACATACCTATGAAAATCTACAATAAAAATGTACAAAATAAAATAAAATCATACAAAAAAAAAACAACTTAAAGCTAAAATAAAATAAATATTAAAAAAATAAAACATCACCATTTACATCGCTGAAAATCTAAAATAACATAAAATATATAAAGTAAAAAACAATACAAAAATGCTTTCATTAGTTTTAATGTTTCTTTTATTTTACTTTTTAATTGAATTTTAGTTTCTAAAATTTAAATTTTAGCTAGTCACTCCTATGATGTACTAGGTAATAAAGGAGGCATCTGTGTTGATTGACCCCTGACCTTGAAGCTGGAGCTTTTGAGCACCAGGTAACCCTTCTCAATGAGGTCCAGCGTGAGCTTCAGGTAGAGATAGGAGCCCCGGCTCAGACTTTTCAGATGAGTGCTGAATTTGGCAAAGGCTGCGTTGTCTAGCTTGCCATTGAGTGCCACGTTGTTCTGGATCTCCTGGCTGGAGTGAAGCCGGTGCAGGATGTAGCCCTGCAAGTCCGAGTCAATCGCATCAATTTCCTCCAGACGGTCCAGAGAGATACGGTGGAACGGCAACAGACGAGATACATCCTGAGATGGAGAGAGAAAATGAATAAGAATAAATTGGTAAAAAAGATGGAAGTATGGATAGATGGACGGACGGAAGGAATACAGACCAGCAGTGTTGTTCTGACAGTGACCACCAGTTTAAGCCAGGGAGGGAAACGCTCAACGGTTTTGCACAGGAAGGAAACAATGGTTTCTCCGTAATCCGGTTTATGGAACTCCGCCTCATTCAACCCGTCAATCACAATCAGGAGATTCTCATCACACGCAATCTTCCTCTCTGTAAACATCGCATGTTTTCAATATTACATACTGTATATGTCAGCATAAGAGTGTGCACGAACACGCTCACACACCTCGATGCAGGATCTCCAGAGGTTCCAGCAGGCCCCTGCGGAAAGCGTTGAAAGGGTCCTGGACGCAGGCGCGCAGGCTGAGTGTGCTCTGCAGGTGCGGCTGACGGAGCAGCAGCTCTCGGTAGGCCTGCATCTGAGGAGCCCTGCACAACAACGCTGCCACATTATGCACAAACTCAGGGACCAGGCAGGTGTATGCGTTGTCGGCCTGACAGTAATGGTACGCCACCACCTGCACACGATATGAGAGAGCAGATATAAGCTGACAAACATTTACATTCACAGCACAGCTTGGGTTGAGACCGCACCTGTAAAACCTGATTTTAGCTTTGCTTATCAACATTCAGTTTCAGTCACTGAATTTGACTGGTACATGTTGTTGCAAGAGTGCTGATATTTCACTCGATGATGATTTAAAAACAGATTATTTCAAGAACGAAACACCATTACTGTGTTGCTCAGAGACACACAATGGTTCACTAGTGAAGCAAGAACAAAGTAACTTGAATATTATATCTGAAATACACACTACCGTTCAAAATGTTCAGTAGTAAGGGTCAGATTTTCTTTTTTTCAAAGAAATTAATAATTTTATTCGGCAAAGCGATCAATAGCTACAGTAAATACTTAAATTGTTACAAAAGATTTTTAATTCAAATAAATGCAGTTCTTCAAAACTTTCTATTCATTAAAGAATCCTTAAAAAAACATGTATCACAGTTTCCACAAAATATTAATCAGCACAACTGTTTTCAACATTGATTATAATAAGAAATGTTTCTTGAGCATTAAATCAGCATATTAGAATGATTTCTGAATGACCATGTGACACTGAAAACTGGAGTAATGATGCTGAAAATTCAGTTTTGCATCGCAGAAATAATTACAATTTAAAATATTAAAATGTTATAATATTACAGCTTTTACTGTATTTTTAATCAAATCAATGCAGCCTTGGTGAACCTAATAGACTTCTTTCAAAAACATAAAAAAATCTTACTAACCCTAAACTTTTGAACAGTAGTGCAAGTACTTAACATTAATTTCTTCTTTATTAAAATGTTGTGTAAAAGCAATATCAACATGGCTGTAATTCAACCATAGGTCTGTGTGATATTAACTTTGGATTTCAATTACAGACTTTGAGTGTACTTTTATAAAGGCTCAATGTTAATAGATTATCGACCATTATAAGCAACACCCTAGCATTGTGATAAACTTTGCACAGACAAATACCATTCAACAAATGTAATAAAACAGTCAAATGGATTTTAATCATTTTATAATTCATTATGGGTATTTATTATTAGAGCATCAGGAACTACTTCTGTATATATGCCAAACACAAATTAGTCATACTTTTCACAGAGTAAAGGTGCCCGGAACATCTAGAGACACCTGTTAAAAGTAGGTTTAGACAAAGAAATAGACAGAAGAAGGACAAAAATATTTCCAGTCTCAGGGATTCAGCTCAAAAACACAATAAATATTAAAGGGGTCATATGATGCTGCTAAAAAGAACATTATTTTGTGTATTTGGTGTAATGAAATGTGTTTATGCGGTTTAAAGTTAAAAAAACACATTATTTTCCACATACTGTACATTATTGTTTCTTTACGTGAACATTTGGGCGGTGTTATGCAAATCTTCCCACATAGTGAGGTAGACATGTGGGGGCGTGTTAGAACGAGCCGTTTTAGGTAGGCGTGGCTGAATCTGAACTTTTATAAAGAATATCTCTTTGGATTTGAGACTTTAGTCTTTGCAACTTTACAGATCTTCTTTATGCACCAAGAGCTTGTAACACTCCAAAGAGAAAGGAAAAATTGAAATCGCATCATATGACCCCTTTAAAACTAGAGAAAGATTCAAAGCTCAGGAGTTTTGATGTGATGAAGGAGTTTCATTAATGCACAAAACATTATGGAGTTTGAGTGCATCGATGGCCTTATTCCAATAATCTAAGACTGCTGCTTCCCTGGATTCACTTCATGTGTGTGTGTGTGTGTGTGTGTGTGTTCAAAAGCTTGTCATCATTAGCAATGCAGACTCTGAGTATATCTAATGGCTGTGCTGGGAGACTCTGTGCATATAAATATTTGATGAGGCAACAGAGCCGCAATAAACCTTTGTGCTTAAAAGAATAGAGAGAAAAGCAAAACACAGAGAGAGTGAGAGCAAATTAATAAAAGAAGAAAGAGACAAAGGAAGAAATGGGGAGACAGAGAGATAATAAATCAATAGAAGAGAAGAGGAGTGAGGGAGATTGAATGGCAGACTGGATATATGCCCGCCCCGTTGATTATGTTGGTATTAGTTGGCACCTGAGAAGCCAGTCTTCTGAGTGCTTCCTCTTGGCGTCTCCGCATCTCGGGCGTTCCAGGGCAGTTGCTCCCACCGACCAGAGTGCCGTGAGCGGACTGAGGCTGGTTCAAAGGCAGTGTGTCGCCATCTGAGAGGAAGACATGGCATGCATGTGATGACATGTCACAAACTGAGACAAAATGGCATTGACATTTTAAGGGCTGAAAATATTTGTTCCCTTTAAAAAAAGACAATAAAAAATAGTTCGCCTAGGAATGAAAATACTGTCATTATTTACTCACCCTCATGTCATTCAAATCTGTAGTGTATAATTGTATATTTTCTGTGATTTTTTTATTTACAAGTTTATCCATAGCCATAAATTTGTCTTGACAGTCTGTGATGTAATATGTATTTTACCCACTGTGACCAATGTGTGGAGTATTGTGATTCTAAAATCATAAAAATACCATATCCATAGATGCAAATTCAGTCATAGCTAATTAAATGTTTTGCAGGATTTTAATATTCAGAATTTCAAAGCACTTACTAATAAAAAAATGTATAAAAACTGTGAGATATAAGTTGTTGTTGAAGTCTTTATTATTACTTCTTTTTATTTTGTAAAGTAAGAAAAAATATGAAACATTCTAAAACATATTTTGATAAAATAATGTACATATCAATATAAAATACATTTTAAATCTACATTCTGTATTATGAAAATAATAATTGACATAGTTAACATGTCTGTTAAGCTTCAAAAAACACCTAAAAAGCTAGTTTTCTAAAGCCATATGAGAGTTTAATGTGAGGGACTGACTGGAATTTAAGTTATTTGATGAATTAGTATGACTTCGCAAATTATTTGCTGTAAGTCTTTCAGGAAGTGCTGAAAGTTTCAGATTTGTATCCTAGAATATAGCACAAGACTCATATTGACTGCTTTTATGGTGTTTTTTGTTTGTTTGTTTTGTCCTTTTTTGAGCTTGAAAGATGTGGTGTGATGGAAAAGAGCTGTCAAGTAACTCCTTTTGTGTTTCACAGACAAAATAACAGCAAACAGGTTTGAGGTCACAACACAATGGTCAATAAATAATGACTAAATTATTTGTTTTGGTTACTATACGATTTTTATTCAATCTTAAGGAAATATATTCACAGTTTAGTGATTTTCATCTGAATGAATCCACTCACGTTTTGGTGAGGCATGTGGACTGTCAGAGGTGATCTGTCTCATGCGGTTGCCGTGGCAGCTGAGAGCCACCAAGCGAGAGATGATGGCCGTCTTGCCGAAGCCCACGTTGCCAACAATAACGACACCTTGACTGGCAGTGGACTCACTGCTGCGTAGACAAACGTCGACTTCCTGGAACAGCCATTCTCGACCGGTGAAAACCGCATCGGGGGTCAGACTGGGCACCTCGAAGAGAAGCGGCTTCAGGGCGATGTCCGGTGGCCGGTATGGAGCAAAGCGCACTGCATTGTGGGAAGCATTAGAAAATATTGCCAGTGAAACAGGTTTTATACAAACATACACATACATACTGTATATTTATCCTTCCAAAGCCTCTTTTTCGTCTTCTTACAGTGATTTTATCCATCAAAGAGAAAGTTTTACAATTCACTTTCGAAATAAAAACCTCTTCAGAATGCAGTAATGCTTTTTTTTTTACCAGCAGAGGGAGATGCTTTATCTGAAAAAGGCCAGAACTGACAGCTTACGCAAGCCAGAGCTGCAGTGTGAAACACCATGAATCAACGACTGTCGACGGGGTGCCTTGACCCATTAATGCATGGCATATAATTCACCTGAAATAACAGATCAGCCTCCATGCATCAAAAACAGGCACAGAGCTGTCACTGAGCCGTTGCCATGGTTACAGGAACCCACCTTTGGGGATGCTTGTTGCTTTTGTTCAGATTATCCATTAAATTTATTGCTATCATGCACAAAGCAAAATGTATATTCATCGTCATATTAATCCACCACATAAACCATAATAAAGATCCTTAATATTAATTAAAATAATCCTCATCTAATATTCATTTTCAGTCTTCATTATCCTTATACGTATCATCCGTATTATCATTAATCTCAATTACTGATAATATTACTGATAATATTCAAGCGTCATGTAAAAGCAGGACAGGGATATTGGGAGAAAATCTTCAGCACAATTAGCATAAATTATGTATAATATGTATAATTTCCTGACTGTATAGGATTATGCTGCAACAAGTGTGATGGAGCATATTATTAGGTTATTTATCCCTCCATTTGCATGTGGACTATTAATTAGCCTCATAACATATGAATTAATTATCTATGCATTAGCATAACAGGGTGAGCAGATTTATGCAGGGCGAGGTGACCTTTATGAGCACATATGGATGCTAGCAGACACTATAGTAAAAAGGGCAAGAAAAAGAGACAAAGAAGGAGGGAGATAGAAACCGGGGCAACTGAGCAGTAAAACGGCTATTAAGAACTACAGACAGGGAGGTTGTAATAAAGAAGAGGCAAAAAGAAAAGTGAACTCATTGCTTTTTAGTAGCATATACTGTATATTAAAATCTCCTTTCATGGTACAGCTAGAGCGGGTTCACATCCCCAAATGTTTTCCACAGTTAAGTGTGATTATTACTGGTGGAAATGGCTTTTAATGCCTTCTGAAAGAGTACTATACTGAAACATGAAAGAACCTGCTTGTAATTGCAGTCAAATTATGCCATTATCTACATTGAGGTAGAATTATTATCTACAGTAGTTACGTTCAAATACCTCATGGTTGACGTACGGTTTGAGCATCACATCACTATGAACGCTTTTAACAAAATATGATGATGTGTTTCCACATTAATTAAAGGGGTCATATGATGTTGCTAAAAAAGAACATTATTTTGTGTATTTGGTGTAATGAAATGTGTTTATGCGGTTTA